TCTCTGCATTCACTACACTAACACACACTCTGCATCTGCTACACACTAACACACACACTCTGCATCCGCTACACACTAACACAATCTCTGCATTCACTACACTAACACACACCCTGCATTCACTACACATTAACACACTCTCTGCATTCACTACACTAACACACACTCTGCATCCACTACACACTAACACACTCTCTGCATTCACTACACTAACACACACTCTGCATTCACTACACTAACACACACTCTGCATTCACTACACATTAACACACACTCTGCATTCACTACAAATTTACACACACTCTGCATTCACTACAAATTTACACACACTCTGCATTCACTGCACTAACACACACACTACATTCATTACACTGACACACTCTGCATTCACTACACACTAACACACACTCTGCATTCACTAAACTATGCATACACTATGGATTCACTATACTGACACACAATCACGCATTCACTACACTAACATCCTGTATTCACAGTACACACACTACATCCACCACACATTGAAACACTCTGCATTCACTATACACAGACACTGCGTCTAATACACGCACTACATCCACTACAGACACTGCACCCACTAAACACATTTCATCTAGTACATACAAACACTACATCCACTACACAAACACACACTACATCACTGTACACACACTATATCCACTACTCAAACACACTCTGCGTTCACTATACACACTGCATCCGCTACACAAACACACACTCTGCATTCACTGTACAAACAGTATCTAATACACACAAACACTACATCCATTACACATATTCTAATTCACTTCCACTATACACACCACATTCAGTCCTGCATCATTGTCAGCGGACCAGGTAGGGCGTGTGCGGGCCCGGGAGGGAGGGAGGGGGGGGGCCCAAACCTGGTGCTTTGTCAGGGGCCCCAAAATTTCTGATGGCGGCCCTGCCGACCAACCCTGGACGCTCGGTTAACAACGAGCTTTGCTGTTATTACTGCAAGCAACTGGGACATCTGCGTAATAATTTTCCCCTGGAAGCACCCAGATCCAACTGGACTCGGCCTGGGTTTTCCTGGGCCGCTGCACACTGCATAGACTACCCTGTGCCAACAGCTTGGGACGCCAGGGAATTGAGCCGTGAGGAGCCTCTGGGAACGCTTTATGAAGTAAACCTTGTCCAGTCAACCATCACTTACAACCGACAACATTATTGTCAGCTGGTGATGGTGAATGGGAAAACTGGCCGAGTCCTCAGGAAACCTGGTGCCACCATTACTTTGGTCCAGAGGCACTTGATTGACAACTCTGAACGTCCTGGGAAATCTGTTGCTACATACCGGATCCCTACTGCCCAGATCCACCTAGATTGGGGCGCTGGAGCAGGCAACGTTAATGTGGGGGTCATGAAAGACTTACCCGCAGAAGGATTACTGGGCAATGACATTGGCCCATTGCCCTCCTCGTTTATACCCACACCCACTGAAGGTGCCCAAGCCGTGACTACCAGAGCCCAAAGCTGTGCCGCCGAGAGCCACAAGCCTTCCACTGTGACCCAGGTAAGCCAAACTACACCGCCTCTGACTATAGAACCCCTTCCCTGGAATACCCCAGAAAGCTTTGGGAGGGAAGTAGTGGGGGACCACTCACTTAGGAAATACAGGGAAAAGGCCAAGGGGGGCTGTGCGGAAACAGTTAGTCTAGGAGGGTGGCCGGTTGTACAGGCTTACATAGTCCCGGGTCAACGCACCCGGACCCCGGCAAAAACGCCATCTGGTGATTCCCAAGAAATACCGTCGGGAGTTATTGCAAATAGGACATGATGTCCAATTAGCAGTGCATTTGGGAATACGCTGGACATTATACCCTGTAATCCAGAAATTCTTCTGGCCTGGGGTACGCGATGACGTCCAGAGTTATGCCAAACGTGAGGTATGTCAGCGAGTAGGCAAGAAGGGAGACAACCCTAAGGCCAAAATGGTGCCGATGCCCATAATCGAGGAACACTTTACTAGGATAGCCGTAGACCTTATAGGACCCTTGGCCCAACCTAGCCGCTCCGGTAAGTGATATATCCTTACCGTAGTGAACTATGCCACCCGATACCCGGAGGCAGTAGCTATCTTCAACATCCAAGCTGAGACAGTGGCTGATGCCCTGGTCAAGATATTCTCTCAAGTGGGATTTCCCAAAGAGATTTTATCTGACCGGGGTACGCAGTTCACTGCAGAATTGACTCAGCATTTATGGAAGGTTTGCGGGATTAAACCCCTGACTAGCTCCCCGTACCATCTTCAGACTAACGGTCTCTGTGAGCGCTTTAACGGGACTCTGAAGCAGATGCTGAAGACGTTCACGGGCGCCTACAGAGACTGGGAGCGATTCCTGCCCCAAGAATCAATGGGATTTTCGCCCTTTGAGCTGTTGTACGGAAGGAGCATGAGGGGACCCCTAGACCTCATTAAGGAACACTGGGAGAGCGAGAAATAGGCAGAGTGGACCCCCATTGTACCCTATGTGCTGGAGCTGAGGGACTGTATGGAGGAATTGGCTCAGGCAGTGCGAGAGAACCTCCAGGCGGCCCAGCAGCACCAGCTGGTATGGTACGACTGCAGAGCCAGACACTGGAGCTTTCAAATCGGACAAAAGGTTATGGTTCTAAAGCCAGTCCGACAAGACAAGCTTCAGGCTGCCTGGCAAGGTCCATATAAAGTTATTGGGCAGGTGTGCGATACCACGTACATAATAGATATTTGAGAATGTGAGACGGACATTTCTCATCAACATGCTCAAAGCATATAAGGAAAGGGCCAAAGAAGTGACGGCCATATGTGCCCCAGCAGTGGAGGACACGAAGCCCTACCCTTACCAGACATGTTAGGAGGTGACCTGGGAACAAGGGACATAGAGTTGGTCCAACAGGGGGAACAGCTGGGGCCCCACGAACGGGCCCAAGCAACCCACCTGCTGGAAGCCAAAGAAGACACGTTTTCTCAGGAACCTGGGTTAGCCGTTCATACGGTAGAAACCCCGTACCGCATTTCCAAAGCTGTTAAGGAAGGGATGCGGAAAAAAATAAGATGAGATGCTTCGCTTGGGGGTAACAGAATACTCAGAGTCCTTGGGCGTCACCTATAGTCTTGGTGCCAAAACGGGACAACATGACCCGTTTCTGTGTCAACTACAGGCGGCTCAGTGATAAAACGGTGACAGACGCCTACCCAATGCCCCGGGTAGACGAACTGCTCGACCGTATATCTAAGGGGCAATATCGACCTCTGCAAGGGATACTGGCAGATCCCCTTGGCCGAAGAAGCCATCCCTAAGTCAGCCTTCATCACCCCGTTCAGCCTATACCAATTTCGAGTTATGCCATTTGGGATGAAGAACGCCCCAGCCACTTTACAACAGAGTGTGAGGTGGCTTTCCAAGCTCTAACACACCTGTCTTAGCTGTCCCAGATCCTAACAAATGTTTTATCGTCCATACAGATGCTTCCATGTTTGGACAGGGGGCAGTTTTGAGCCAAATTGGAGAAGACAGTGGGGAGCACCCAGTAGCCTATTTGAGTCAGAAATTCCTGCCTGGGGAGGTCAGCTACGTGGCCACTAGGTGTTTAGCCCTTGTCTGGGCACTCAAAAACTGAACCCTTATCTGTATGGCCACGCTTTCACCCTCATTACAGACCGCAAACCCGTAGTCTGACTCAACCGGGTCGCTGGAGATAATACTCGTCTGCTACAGTGGAGTCTTGCCCTACAGACTTATGACTTCACCATACATTATCGTCTGGGCAAACAAAATGGGAATGCAGATGGGCTTTCCCGCCAGACCGATTTGCTACCTTAATGGATACTGGGGAGTCCGGACAGTCTCTAATAAACCCGAAGGTTCAACCGTGCCTGCAGGAGCAGGGAGTAAAGAGGGGGGGCAGTGTGAAGGGATAACCCCATCACCATTCGGCTAAATTAGAAAATTGGGCAGACTAGATGGGCCGAATGGTTCTTATCTGCCGTCACATTCTATGTTTCTATGTAAATGTACTCCCTTCTATGAGCCTTCCCCAGTCATTCGTTCTTTTTGTTGTTCCATTTGTTAATTTGTTCGGTTCCCAAACCGAGACCACCCCAGAGACTAATTAGAACTAAGAATACCATGTACTCATGCGAAAACTGCAGACTATTTGAATGCTCCTAGGTGGCCGCCATTTCGTGCATACACGTGGTGAGAACAATGGATGGCGGAAATCTTGTCTCCCGAACGCTGCCTGCAGGACTTGGTCGTCGAGTGCCTGGAACTGATTTCAGCAACGCACTCGCACGAACACCGGTCTCTATGGAACTCTACTACGTTCTCTTTCCCAGCATCTCAGACAAACGACGTTCAGGAGTTTCAAACTACCGAACACAATGAGCATTCTTCATGAACCAGATAGATGTGACTGTTACGGTTGCTTCCAGGCTGGCTGGAAGTTGGACCGTAGAAAAGGATGCTCCTAGCGCTCACCAACGGACCATCAGCACCATAGACACCATAACTACTGCGTAGCCACCATAAGTACTGCAGACTCCACGAACCACCGCTGCTGGGCTGGTATCTCGCCGTCTGCTCTGTGCCCTGGACCCACGACCAGGCTCCAGTAGGTGAACCTCTTCCTTCTGCAGAGCGAAGCAGGATCAAGAAGAAGAGCTCTTACAAGAGCTCAGTAGCTAAGGGAGTATGAAGAGCATAGCAATCCCTGTAGTGATTATAGCTGTCCCCTACAAACATGAGTCAAGGCTGCAAGTTAGAGGGTCAAGAAGATCTGATGTTTAATGGCACACACTCTGCTTTTATGAGATTCTGCCCATGCAAGGGAGACACCCACATAATTAGCAGTATAACCAATCGGAACAATATACATTCGGGGAAATTCCCATCCCTCAGATAATCACATAACATAATTAAAACAGAACAGTAAAAATACAGTTTTTATACATGTACTATAACTTCCAAACTACACATCCAATCTTCATAAAAATTACATATTTAGAATCAATCCATTCAGGGGAGCAACATATTAAAAACTGGCACAAATCAGACAAGGGGTTCAAAAGTTAGCAAAAGTATCTTTTGGGGCCTAGCTGGCAGCATGGTTTTCTGGCCCAAACCGGATTTACAGATCCCTCTATCCTGGACAATGGGGAAAGTAATCCAATTATCCAGGGATAGAGGCAGACTCCATTAACCACATGTTAGCAAAAGACACAAAAAGACACAAAAATGCATAACTCCTATCATACTGAACAGAACCCCCACATTCAACCTATCCCCAGATGGCTTGGATCTGAGCGCTCAATATATCCAAACAGCGCTCAGATCCCACAAATACAGTCAAATCGCCATACACACTAGGTCCATAGTCATGGGGCAGAAGGCTGGCAATTAGGCTTCTCCATAACACAGGGAAGCAGGGCAATTTGTCAAATAAAATAACAGTTACAAATGGCAGTTTGTAACAGTGACCTATTGCGGTTTTCATATAAAACCTCACGAACAGAGACCGACTCTTGCTGCATCTCCTCTGGAACTGTTTCCCGGCTTCAACCTTGAGGCAGACTGGTCAACTACTGAACGGATTTGGCTGACTTTTGAATATGTTGCTCCCACATAGGCAAGCTACCCAGGGATGTGGGGTTCTTATGTGATTTTGGGGTATTTCCAAAAAGTTTGAAAAATTTAAGTTTTTCTGACCATAAGATAATTGAGTTTAGTATGTTCTCTAAACTCAATTATCTCGCTGGATCAGTGGAGGAGATATGCACTGTATACATTGAATGTCTGTGTTCTCATTAAACCAGTCTTGTCCCAGCATTAAGCTTTGGCTCATGTGTGGGCTTTTATGCGACACCAGCGATATTGGAACCTGTGGATTACTGGCGTATTATTTTATGGGGAAAAGGTATGCAAGACGGTGATACCTACTCAGACCGTAACACCTGGCACTATAGATTCCTCAGCCTCCGCCCTCCTTCTTGGAAAATAAAGGGTTAAAACCCCTTTATTTACTTACCTGATCCCAGCACCGATGTCCCTTGGCTCTGGTTGACACTCTGCCCCCTCCGATGGCCCGCGATGAGTGGGTGCTAATGCACATGCGCGGCAAATGCTGCGAGCGCACTAGCCCTTCACATAGGAAAGAATTGACTCAATGCTCTCCTATGGGGAAAAATCTGATGCTGATACAGGGCGTGAGGACATCCAGCGTCTGATACCAGACCAAAGGTGTCTTTCGATTCAGGAAACCCTCTAGTGGCTGTATGGTAGACTTAGAGCTGCAATGTAAACATTGCAGTTTCTCTGAAAATGCAATGTTTAATATGGCAGCACTAAGGGCAATGAACTGAAGTGGTCTGGGTGCCTACAGCGTCCTTTAACTCCTAAATGGCAGATAATTAAGCAGTGAGCCTGCAGGGACATGATCTATACAAAAAAACTGCCTTATTAACCCCTTAAGACCGGAGGGCGTACTATTACGTCCTCTAATAGGCGGCTCTAAACGCCGCCGGGCGTAATAGTACGCCCTCCGGTCTTTCTGTACTTACCCGGTCGCCGGCGGTCCCACGCCGGCGATGGCGGTGGGGGGTCTCCCAGGGAGCCCCCCGCGGCACGACCGTCCTCCAGGAAGCCCCCCGGCCGTGTGAGAGTGGGGTCCTAGCGAGGACCCCACAATCACATGGCCGGGGATAGCTGGCTTCTGTATTGCCAGCAGGGGGGCTGCCTGTAATGACAGGTGGTCCCCCTGCTGGCTAAAAATAAAAATGAAATAAATAAATAGTGTAAAAAAATAAATAATATATACTTAGATCATATATATATATATTATATATATATGATCTAAGTATATATATACACATATACATACACACATGTACACCGTCTAGGTGTATTTTACTATTAATATATATATAATTATATATATATATTAATATCAAATTACACGTACACTGATACTGATTAAATATATATATAATTATTGTTATATATATATTTATATATATTATAAAAAAAATTAAAAATGTAAATACGTTAAAAAATAAAATTACAAAAATAATTAAAAATAAATAATTAAAAAATATATAGATGTGTGTTATTTCGTTCTAACTGTATTGTGAAATTAATATATATGTATATATATCAAAATACACATAGAACGAAATAATATATATATTTATACACAAATATATACGTATATATCACTATATATATACCTATATATAAATAAAAATATTTTAAAAAAATTATATAGATATATACATATATATACACATACGTATATATATACATATATTGATTCTACATATATATTTATGTAATATTTTTACATAATTAGGAATCTTAATTAATTACAATTAGCAGGACCTGCATGACAACCCATACGAAAGTAAAGGGAATTTAATTTGCTAGCACTATATTTAACCTATAACTTTTCCGAGACACCATAAAACCTGTACATAGGGGG